ATGTTTTCTCATCGTCCAAAGCACTTCCTGGGGGAGAGAGACATATCCATGTGATTTGTTAATAATCGTATCTAGAATGTGATAACCCTCCAGAGTGAAGTTGCTTAATGAGGTCCTCAGTTCTTTCAGACTTTTGAGTCTGCATATAATGCAATGTCACTACTTCATATAACAATTGAAATATGAGGCAATATTTTTAACCAAAAGCATTCTATCATGGAGATTGGAGGAGGACAATTCTTAACTGGCACAGTTAAAAATGATTTTAGAGAGATTGATGTGTTGATTCCCTTCATCTTACAGCTGGGGAAACTGAGGGCCAGAAAGGTCATGGAACCCTGTCAAGGTCAGGCCACTAGCTAAATTCTGGATCCCAGGTCTCCTGCCCTTTGGGCCAAGTCCGCTTTGCCTAAAGCAGCAGAAAACCTGCAGAATAGCGTCAAGATGGCCAGGCGGGAGACAGTGCCATCCGTCTTAAAAATCATTCTGGCTTCTGCCAGCTGATGAAGGAAAGTTAATGACGCCCACATAAATGCGATGCTGTCGCAGGACGCGTACACAGGCTGTCGGGAGAGGAGCTCTGCGGGCCCTCTGAAGAAGAAAAGAGGTTTTTAATGTAGCTTTAAAGGGAGCAGTGTCTCCTCTTTCTGCAAGGACAGGGACTGTGGCATCTGTTACCTCCGTGTCCCCCATAGAGTGCAGAGTTTGGGATTGGACACATAAATACATGATAAATAAATGCCTAGTGAAGAAATGAAGGCAGAGTCAGTGTTGAAGCAAGTTCATTCTGAGCCTTTGTGGGTGTGGGCCTCTGTCTTTCACAAAGACCTTATCCCAGGCTGGAGGCAACATAGGGGTGTTGGAATCAGTCATTTGAGTTGATTGGTAAGCAAACTGAGTCCCCATGATGCGGAGTCTTATGAAAGCCATGCTGCAGGATGGGAGCAGAGCTCACTTTAGAACAGGGGGCTTTCAAATCCTAGCCTAACTGCTTTCTCCACTGCACCACATTTGCAACCTCTTTCGGAGTTAAGTTGGTCTCAGGGATAAATTCCCTAAATATCCCCTGATAGGTCATCACCAGTTTTGCAAATACACAGAAGTTATGCGCCAATTCATAACTCTATTTACCAGCCTAGGGGCCATATCTAAGCTATCCTTTGGGAATAAAAGATGTGATGTTTTCTTTTCTCTTACTCAAGGTTCCTAAGCCCCCAGAAGAGGGTAGACTGACAGTTTGATTGGGCCTGGTGCAAGCTTGCCCAAGGAACTTCTTTCCTCGGTAAAAAAGTCCTTGGCCCATTTCAGAAGCTCTTAAATGCTTTCTGCAGTGCCCAAAACGCAGCGGGTAAGATTTGAGGGAAAATACAGCTATGCTACTGGGAGGAAGAGATCCAGAGGGGGCACCTCAAAAGAAAACTCATTTACCTTCCAACTGGGTGGGTTTCCAGGACCCAGATATGAAACAATCTATCTGCCATGTTTCTCTTGACCCTTGTGTGAATAGAAACATCTTTCCTTCAAGATTTTAATGACCTTTCTTAACAAATGAGTGTCATATTCAGCACAAAGCCCTGTGCAAGGAAGCATGGCAAAACCATCCATGGGTTAGACTTGGTTTATCTCCTCTCCCTTTATTCCCTTTGCAAGCATGAGCTAGGTCCCTTTTTGCTTCATTGGGGTGATTTGTGTGGTTCATGGGGGGCATGTTCTCAAGGAAACTAGACTTTTCTCCCCATTGTAATTAGGACATCGGAACAGCAGATTAAGAATTTGGTCATTCAATACCAGTGGTTCTCAACTGCATACAATTTTTGCACTCCCTACCCCAGGATTTTTGGCAGGGTCTGGAGACATTTTTGATAGTCATGACTGGGGGGAGGGGATGTCACCGAGGCCACGGTACTGCTGAACATCTTACAATGCACAGGACAGCCCTCCTAATAAAGATTATCCAGTTCAAAATGTCAGTAGTGCCGAGACTGAGAAACACAGTTACATGCTATGAATTACCCAGAAGATAAAAAATGTTGGGGTCTTCCTGGGCCTTTCCAACCATAAGCTAGAAGGTAAGCGTTCTGTGAATCAAAGCAAGTTCCCTTTGGCTTGCAAAGGAGGTTGAAAGGAATGTGCTTCTACCATTAAAAAACCCCCCAAAAACCATATCTTTGTCTATTATTTTTGGCCAGTCTGGCTATAAAGCCCCATCTCCAACTGCAAACAAAGAGACAAAATTTAGGTTATCGAATCCTAGGATGTCACTCATGGTTTTAGAACCATAGGCTTTTAAAATACCAAAGGAGGAACTTCAGCCAAATCACCTCATTTTATTTATGGGGTCACAGTTGATGAGCACTGCAATGCTGTTTGTGTCCCAGTACCCTATGTCTCTCTCCCCGTCAGCTCTTTGGAAGGCCTCAATGCGTTCTCTGTGTTGGCACCATATGAGGTTTCTGCCTCACTTCGACTGCTGTTTTGTTTTACTGTTTACTGTCATTATGGCCATTTTGCTGGTGATGTACTAATGCAGCAGCACTTCTGTTATTGATGGCCTTTCCTTTTCTAGCCCCCAGATTTCCCCCAACAAGGTGAACAGCTGGCATCATTTAATCTAAGTAGTACCTGGGTGCCTGAGATGATTGGATTGGCTCATTCCAACACGGTGCCTGTCCCTTGGGGGAGAAAGGGTTATTCACATGGAACCTGCTAGGCTGCCAGTCTCCATTTACCCCCACATACAATTCTATTGAGTCCCCAGATTTTAATGCTTCTGTATTTTCACCTAAAATTTAAAAAATGAGAGAGTTAGAAATGAAAGTGCCAATGACACAAGGATAATACTTTCCCTCCTTTTGACCTTTTTTTTCCAATCTCTCTGAAAAATTGCTGAGGGTATTTCCTGAGTTCAATTCCTAGCTTCATTATTTTATGTTTCAGAACAGTTCTGAAACAACATTGACTCCTCAGATGATGTAGTCATTCCTATATTTTGAAAGTGCAGTGGTACCAATCCCTTCCCAGCTCTCCAGAGTCATGACTTTTCTTTCCTTATAAACACAGAATCCCATACACATTGTAGCTCAGATATGCCTTGACACATGTAGGGGAAGGAGATGTAGAGTGATGTTTCCTGATGGGCTACCACCAGTTTACTTAAAGAATTAGCACAGTGGATTCATCACCTTCTCGAAATGATTACAATGCAAACCTTTTAGACCGTGTCTCCCTTTTGTGAAAGACAATGTCGGGGAGAAGAAAATCAAACGTACTGTTCATCAATAAAAAAGGAGTCGGGTGTGTGTGTGTGGTGGCGGGGTGGGGGAAGTGATGTGCTTGGTCCTATTAATTTGCTCTTTATTCTTTCTGGTTCAGTTCTGTCTCGGTAAGCCAAACAGAGAATCAATTTGCATACAAATGTTACCAAGTACCCCACCTCCGCGGCATTTTACAGTTCTATATGTATGTAGGGGAGAAAGGATTTGATATTAAGAGGATACTTCCTGCCCCTTCCTCCATAAAGTAGCTACATTTCACAGGGCCCTGGATTGTTGCACTTTTTCATTCTATCTGACTCCCTATTTGCATTCTGAGCTGTGGGCAGGACTATGGCCTATCAAAGAATTATTTGAACTAGAGATTAGAAGCTTTAGCGTTGGGTATCTCAGGGAAGGAGGGGGTCTTTTCCCCATCTCAAGAGAAAGACATGAAGAGAGGTTCACATATAGACCCTTATAATCCGGGGTTGGGGGAGGAGTCATTCATTTAATAAACCAACCGACAGGTTAGTCAAACTAACAATTCATATGCAGAATTCTCCACAATGTTAAAAGGAAAAGCAATAATTAGTTGCTGGTTTATGATGGGAGAGAATAATATTTGGTGGTTACTTATTTTTAAAAATAACCTAGAGTGGGCCTTTCAAATGGCTGTTAATACAGTGCCATGGTAAAACATGAGAGGCAGGTATCTAAAATGAGGAAGATTAATGATCCCTGCGGGTCATGGAGGAAGAATAATTTTTTTCAATTCATATAAATGGAATTTATCATAACCATCTCTGACGATGGCTGATTCACCCACTTACAAAAGAACTATCTATTTCAATGCTTCCTGAAGAGGGTGATTTTTCACTTTTCACTTGTACTAACATAGAATGCTAAGCCTGTAGGCAGAAAATTTTAACCTGAAGAGATAACGGATGAGGGAACTCAGCTACAGATTCAGGGACAGACATAAATTAAACAAAACAAACAAGAATTGTCCATCAGTTCAGGATCTGCAGCTAACAAAGTAAGAGTTTGGAAAGGTGAGTGGGTGAGAGGAGGGAGTCAAAGTTTCTAAAGGGAAATCTTTCCCAGAATCTGTTCCTAAGTAGATCCACTCTGCACCCAAGTTCAGGGCTTTACAACCGGAGGTCATAACACTATTGTTTCCAAGCACTAAGCCTCAGCCTACTCCCCCCCCGCCCTGCCCCACGCAGAAAAAGAAAACAACAACAAAAAAGGAGAGAAAATGAAATGTTCTGTGTCCAGTGAGCTCGAGTGCAACCTTCCCCGTCACCGCTAGTTGTCACTTGGCTCCCAGACGGGAGAGCTGAGGTTTTCGGCACTGCGGTTAGAGAGAATGCAGTCCTAATTAAACTGAGTAACTCCAAAAGCTTCCCCTTAAAGTCCTCAGCCCAGTGAAAGCCAATATGCAGAGGGGCTGGGGGCCAGTGATGGGGCAGGTGTATAGCAGATGGAAGGACAAACAAATCACACACACACACACACAAAAACAGGCAAACAGCTGCTAGAGCAGCGACTGTCTCAGACCTCCACGCACAAGCCAGACACCCTGCGGGAGGGGTGGGGTGGGGGAGCGGGGGATGGAAGGACCCGATTGCAGCGGTATACAGCAGCCCCTTCCCCCCAAAATGAAGGGATAACGGACAGAGTCAGCCTCAGTGCTCCTTTCCCCCATTTCCATTACAGCGATGTGGTCAGTAGAAAATTGCATACCTGAAGAATACAATGGTCTCCCAAAGGTAGAGTCGAAGAGTATTGAAGCTGTACATTTTTCAGGTCCTTGTGCTTTGTAGTCCACGAGTTATGAGGGTAAAAAATGTTTCAAATTGGCACTTACAAAACCAGCGAGCGCTATTGAAAAAATAATCCAGATGCTAAGGGGAGGTGGAGAACAGGGGCGCGGAGGGAGAGCCCCAGGGGAAATTGGAACGAGGGGGCTGTAGGTACCACGGACAGAGGCAGCCGTGAAGCGTTTCAGCACCACGGAGAGCGTCCAGCCCTGCTTTTCAGGAGCGCGAAGAGTATTGCTGTTTGTTAAACTCCAGCTTGTCTGTTGGCTCCCTGCGGCGCTGGGGAGGCACGTTTGGGGGTGGGTATATATTCTTTTTTACCCCTGTTTTTCTGTTTAAACGGCCAGCTCCATGCAAGGGAAAAAAATCTTCTGTGGCGATCAGAGCGCTGGCCTCCGACCGTTAGATTGGGCGAGCATCTTGGGTAGAGAGAGCAGGGCTTTATGCCCCTGGGCTGGCCTGAGGGGGCTAGGGGCCAGGGGAAGCGATTGACGGTGCTGCCTTCAGTTAAATTCCGGAGAATGTGCCAGGCTGGCGCATCGCGACCGAGTCCCGGAATCTCGTTTCCCTGCCTGCGTGCGAGTCTGTTGTCGCCTTGCGATCCCTGTTCTCTGGTCCCCGCCGAATAAGTTATGATCGCTGCAGGAAGGGTGTCCCATTGCTTAGGGCTGCAGGCATGAGAGAGCTCAGGGCAAGTTTCAGGGGCTGTCAGGGTCCATGGCGACCCCGCGGGGCTGAGGAGCCCAGGGCTTCAGATGAATCTCGATTTTCTGAGCTCGCCCATCTTCCTTTGGCCAGGACTCCCTCAGATCTTCAGACTTTCTTACTGCATTAATTTAACAAACTGGCGGCATGCGAGCTGGGAGGGGGGCGGGCGAAGGCTGATGGGAGGGGGTGGAGAGGAAAAAAAGGGGGGAAAAACTCCTTAGTATCTTCAAACCCTCCCACTCGAGGTGCTCATTGGCCCACGGTTGCGAAAACCAGATCTTTTCTCAGTGTTTGGCCAATCGCGTTTTAGACTCTAGGTTGAGTTTAACGCTTAAAGTGCTGGACGAGATCCTCGACTCTTCTTTCCTTTGCAAGCGGGCGGTGGGGTGGGGGAGATTATGGAGTTAATCTCTTGAGGTCTCTTAAAATATTGCCTTGATATTTAAAGAATGTGGTTGTATGTGAGGAAAACAAACACCACGGGTCCTAGTTCGGACCTGCCTCTGGGCTCAGCATACCATCTTAAAAGGGAAGAATTGAACCGGATCCCTGAGTTTCTTTAGAGCTCTGAAGTTTTAATACTTGGTACAGAAGTAAAGGAGAGGTTTCAAAAAGACGTCTGGCCCATAAAAGACTGCTTCTCTTCCCCTGGGCCACTGCAATGGGAAAATACAGGAGAAATTCCTTGAGCACTTCCCAGGGTCCAGAGGGAGCAGTCCTGGCCTCACTGTTGGAGCCCTTAGGGGAGATAAGGAAGATATGCAGTCTTCCAACAGGACAGGAGACAGTTTTATTTACATTTCACAACCTACGGCAACAGAGCCTAAGAGAGCTGTGTCTTGTTCCAAAACAATGATTGAGCCAAGCTATACACACAGGTATCTAGTACTTAACCACTCCTGCTTCCTTTTTTCTCTTCCTCCTGCTTCTCTCTTTCCCATCTTATTTGAGTCTCAGAAACCAGCTAGCTATAGATTTCACTCTAGAGCCCAGCTGGGGAGGTGGAGTTAATCAGATTTTCTCCAAGCTCCCAGAATTTAGTGGATTAATAGCCTTGCAGGATTTTCTGGCTGATTTGAACTGGCTGGGACTCTGGGGTCTCTCCCTCCTAGCCTACCAAGTGGGGACAACTCTTCCCTCTTTCTCAGCAGCGTTAGGAATGCCTTCTTTTGAGTTTTTGGAGGTTGATTTTCCCTAGAATAGTTCTTAACAGTTCAGGTCTCTCCAAGCCCAGGCTTTCTCCCTGAAGAAGCCTGGAAAGCTTTGTTCTCCAGCCTCCTACCAACAGGGATTTCTCCCACCCCCACCCCCCACACCACTGTTACACACCCCACATTACTCTCTTTTATTGGCTTCCACACACTGGAACAGTAATGGGCTGCTTAGAATTTCCATGAGTTTGAGTAGTGACTGAAAAGGAAATTTTGCTTTAAAGGTGGATTTTCATAGGAGTCTGATAAAAATTTATATTATCTATCTATCTACCTACCTACCTACCTACCCACCCATATCTATCACTAACCTTTACTAGCATGCTTTTTACGTATCAGGTACTATTGTGCACTTCCCATAATGTCATCTACTTCTCACAGTAATACCTTGACATAAATATTATCCTTGTGAATGCATTTGTGTACATTTGTGAGTAGCTTGGGCAAGACAAACGTGTATATTTCTATGTGTACAAATTGATTTGTGATCCGTAGCCACCCTAATTCTGAAGCAAATGTGTGGTGCATATGTTTATTTACACATTTGTGTTTGTAAATGGTCTCTGTCCACAAAGGCATATATGTATGCACCTATCTGTGACATTTTTGTACCCCTGAAGGTACTGAAACAAACTGTGATGTCACAACTTTGTGCTTGTTCCTTACCTGGCTAGGAAGCGATTGTGTGGGCAGGTGGGATGCAGCATGTAAAAGTTACTTTTTCTTTTCCTTGAAGGGATGTGGTGTGGTGTGTGTGTGTGTGTGTGTGTGTGTGTGTGTGTGTGTGTGTTGTTGTTGTTGTTGTTGTTGCTGCTGCTGCTGCTGCTGCTGTAGTGGGTGTGACTGGTTCCAAGGCTTTGGGCTGTTCTGGAGATGAGAGTAATTATTGCCTGGGGGCACCTGTTTTCTAGTAGGCCCTTACTTTTATTTAATCAGCATACATGAAGTAAGAGTGTGCTGGGCCTTGGGGATATGACAGTATGTAAGAGAAACAGTGCTTTGAACTTCTGAACATGAAATCACTTTGGAGGTTCAGTGGGAAAAGCTCCTCATGGTTGCGAATCTACACTTTTTACCCCATATCTCGTGTATTTCTTATGCCCATAAGCGGTATACTCGGATCTTTCTCTCTTGTTGTAGGTCACTATCGAAACTACCTGCAGGCTTGGAGGTCAGAGATTTATGTTTTTATTTTATCTCTGCCTCAAAAAGGCTGGATGATGTTGGGTAAATGACCAAATCTCTTTGGGCCTAAGTCAAACAGGGAGAGTAACATCCCTTCATCTCATCATAAGAAGCTGCATAGAAGAAATGGCATTCAGGTCTAATCTTATTGTGACTACATGCTATGAAACAGAAATCTCAATGGAATGGAATGAGTTTGCTTCAGCAGATGGTCCATTTCTTATGATAAGTATTCTGTGTAGCCTAATTCCCATACTTGAGTGGCCCGTTATAGGTAGCCAGATTTGAACCATTCCAAGTATGAATACATTTTGACCTATACTGAGATTTATTACTAGAGTCCATTCATTCTTTCATTAATGACACAAAATATTTATTGAGCATTTACTATGTGTTAGTCACTGTGCTAAGGAATGGGGATATAGCAGGGAACAAAACAGGTAGTGATCCCCATTCTAATGGAGTGTATCTCCCGGTGGAGGGAGACAGAAGATAAAAAAAAAGGCAATTTATGATGTACTAGGCAATCATAAGGATTAAAGAGAAGAAAGTGGTCTCAGGGCAGAGAGTGATATAGAGGCACTATTTTATATAGTGTGGTTAGACCAGGGTGTGCTTTCTGAAAAGAAGAAAAACATTTGAACAAGTGACTGAAGGAAGTGAGGGAATGAGCCATGTGAACCTCGGGGAGGGGGGAGGGGAAGGAGAGTTTTCCAGGCAGTGCAGAAAGCAAATGTAAAGAGTCTGAGAGGGAAATATGCTTAGAGTGTGCAAGAAATAGCAAGGAGGCCATTGTGCCTGGGTGGAGTGAGTGAAGTTGAGAGGACCAGGTTAGAGAAGGCTCGGGGGCTGGGGCATACACTACCTCCAGGGCATAGTAAGGACTTTAGGTTCACTTTTGAGTGAGACCCATTGGAGGGTTTCGAGCAGAGGAGTAACAAGTTCTGACTTAACATTTTAACAAGATTAGTCTGGCTACTGTGCTTAGAATAAAATGTGTAGGGAGGGAGGGGGCAAAATGAAAACAAGGATACTAGTTAGAAGCTACTGAAAAAAGTCCATGTGAGAGAGTCTTAGAAACTGTTCTTGTTCAACACTTTTATTTACAGAAGAGGAAAATTATATCCAGAGAGGTTCAGTGACTCACCCCCTAGACTAATAGCAGAGTTGGGACAAGAATACAGGTACCTAATTATAGCTGAAGGGTCTTTCCACCATTTTTTGCTCCCACGAAGATGAAGGGCATGGGAAGGGTAGGTAAAGGAAATCTACAAGGAAGGGACTTTACCTGGCTTCTTGATGATATGTTTAGCACCTGCACAGTGCCTGGCACATAGGAGGAGCTCAGTAGATATTTCTTGCCAGGATGAATAAGTGAATAAGTGAAAGAAGAACAAAAAGATTTAGGCAGAGGGCCTGAAGAGAGAAGAGGAAGGAATAGTGTTAATCAGGTGAGATTACGCAGGCCTGAACCAGCTAATGTAATTAACACAGTGCCAAGTCTCTGACCATAATGACATTCACAGAGGAGAGGTCTGGGCGTCTCAAGACTTCTTTGACAGGCCTCAATGATACTTTGTAAAGAGAGACAGATATTTGGAGCAACTAAGCAGCTTGCCTAATTGTGCTGAAGTATTAGGATGAATATGGGTCTTCAAATAGTACTACGGAAAAGCCTTTCCTCCAAGGAGCTGGAGGCTACTGCCAGCCTTTCCGAACCCAACTTAGAGAATGAACTTGGTACCTTCTTCTTCTTCTTCCTCTTCCCCTTCTCCTCCTCCTCCTCCTCCTCCTCCTCCTCCTCCTTCTTCTTCTTCTGAATTGCAAAGCAACAGTATGTTTTCTGTGCTTTACAGAAGGGACCTCAGAAGTATTTGGGAGATCTCAGTGGCCCTGGGAGAATTTTTTAGTCATAAGGAGTGGATGCATAAAATATTGAGAGACCTTTCCTTCCATTTTTCTGATTAGTCACACAGAAGCCAGGAAATTGGAATGACTGGCCTAAGGTATCACCACAAAGCAAGATCTAGAACTCAGGACTCCCATCTCTCACGTCCTGGCTCCTAACCCCTGCATTTAGAGACCTAAAATAAAGGAAGAGGAGGTAGGATCAGTGAAGAAGAAAGGCCTCATATCAAGACTGATCAGCCCCTGACTTTCTGCCCAGAGACTCCCCAATTTAGTTTTTCAGCCAAGTCTATATGTATATCCTGAGTTCCAGCAGCTTGACATCCACGTGAGACTTTTCATCGTCTCCTTGTGCTGTTTTCCTATCTTTCCATCAAACGTTCTCAGTCTCTTTTTTCCTACTTTCTGCTCTGTCTGTCCTTAACTCCTATTTCATGTTTATCCAGTTAGTTCCTCTTGTTGGGTCTCTCACTGCCTCCACAAGGAGTTTTGGCATGAAAAAGGCTTGGCAGATGATATACCTTCACTCAGAGGTTCATTCGTTTAAAAAGTACACATATTTTGCACACGAACTGTGTGTGTGACACTGTGCTGAGGTTTTGCATCTCTACTAAAAGAGTTGTTCATTTGGTTTTTAACAAATATTGATTAACTACCTTCTCTGTGCTAGGAATTATGGCAAATGGGTCATGATCAGTGTTGGTTGAAGGCGATTCTTGTATTACATATTTAAAAACCATTTAAACTGGAAATACACATATATTAGTGCATAAGTTTTGTTAAGTTACTCATAAAATGGATGCTATCGATATAATGATACAGAACGTTACCAGCACCCTCGAAGCCTACCTCACATTCCCTCCCAGTC